AATGTCGCTCATGGATTGTGGTTACAAATAATGATGCCTGTGCATGGCTTTCTACAGCCAGGCCTACAGCCTAAGTCAGCCGGTTAATTTGCCTAATCTTCACAGGTCTTTAGACCACGGTGGAAATGCACATAACAGTGGGCTGAAGGAACCTTTAAGTTCCTTGAAAAGAGATCTGGGGTCAAAAGTCAACGGTACTTTTGGTCGAAAAGGGGATATAGATGGAAAATAATCAGTGGAAACTGAGTCATGTCCTCTATTACACATAAATCTCTCACTTTTGACATATTATTATTATTATTGCAACTCGACTTTAACTTACACCAATGACTTGTGACTTCGTTTGGACGTGAGCCCTTTGACTTGAAAATACTTGATGCTTCCTCCAAGCCCAGAGATGTGTGCCATGAATCTCCTGAATCAACTGAATACAAAAAGTCTGTTTTGGTACTGGTTATTAGTGCCGAACGACTAATCCTTCAGTAATCCCAACAAAGTAGTTATTGGGGCAGGTGGTGATGAGAAACACAGTGATTTGTAAGTGATTTGTGGAAGGCACTGATAAATGATGTAATCCTGCCCATAGGGATGACACTAATAAATGCAATTAAAAACTACCTACATTGTTTTCCTAATAACGCTATAGTGAGAAATGTAATCGGTGCCTGGATTATGATGAATCAACGTTGTTTTTGATGGAATGAAGCTCATAATTTATGTACAGCACTAGACTTGTAAGGAGGTTTTTCGGGTCAGATGGTGGCTGTACAAAGTACCGGACTTTGGTCAGGGTTTGCAGCCTGTGGTTAAGTTTAGGCTAAAAAACATCTTGGTTTTGGTCACTAAAGCTAATTTCCCCCTTCATGAGTGTCCTGGAGGTGAATTTTTCTCACACGTTTAATTTATATTAAGCTTACAGTTATGCATAAATAAGGATGTGGCTGCGTTGAGTGACAGGTTGGGTGCCTTCTCAAGTGGCTAGATGCTAGGGGGTTCATTCGGCCCCGCCTCACCTCCACATCTTTGCCCATTTTTTGGCTTGCCATAGTCAGGGATGATGAGATGAGATGCCGATAGCTGGAGCTGCTGGGAGTCGCCCACTTTGGCCCAATCCCAATCTCTACACTAAAGCCTAAACCCTGAACTCTCACAGACTGAGTTGACGTCACCTGGTAAGTGCCAGAGTGCGAGAGGCATGGTATTACGGGACAGCACTTTGCGACATATCACTTTACCTTGACAACGGCAAAAAAAATGTTATGTACAATCACGGGTGTGGGACTTTTTATTTTACGTTCTTTAGCAGTGTTCACCGCCAAGACACTTAAGATTGTCTGGTTTGAACGTATTCCAGGCTCTTATGCAGCTGAATGAACATATAATTCAAATAATCTATTTAGTTTTTTATCAAAACAGCGTCACACACTTACATGTAAACTTCTTTTCCTTGTAGTTGCTCCTTCCATGTTTGTTTTCCTTTTTTAGCACCTCCCCATGCTTCCCCAGGTAACCCCATCTTTAACATCACAGTGCTATGAACTGTTGGTTATTCCCTCAGGCGAAGTCTGCAGAGATGCGGACTTAAAGAAAGTGTGCATAAAGGGCTCAAAAAGTAGCCTCTTACTTCAATCAGATCTCCTCAGTATTCTATTTTGCTGCCACTGTGCTGTAACTCCCCTCTTCTTCAGTGATTCATGAGAGCCATTTCTTCACCTAGTGAAGCTCTTAGGATCTTGCTACCAGGCTGGGCATGTAGCTCTGCACTTGTCTTGCTGTCTATAAAGAGAATCATATTACCAGCAGAAATTTTAATCACTCCAATCAGCAATTTTACAACTCAGGGTGAAGCCTAACCTGCAGCCTGCTCCAGACAGCACAGGTATCTCAGACAGCATGATGTAAATCCAGTCACGGTGAGATTACATTATTGCAGCAATATTCATTTATATATTTAGAGACCGATTTTAACAATTACCCTGCTGTGACTATTTAGGAATGCATAGTCTGAATAAACCTCACTCCTGTATCAATGTCAAATTTGCTCTCAGACTCACCTTTCCATATGGATCCTGAACACCTAGTGAGGGAAAAGAGAGGAAGGGGTAATTAATGCGAGGAAGGCATGACAATGCATGCAATCATGGTGAAGTTTTTAGCCAATAACATCACAAAACGAGTACAGGCTGCCAAAGTACAGTTCCCTAATGGCTGCTTTATGTGACATCAATACTCTCATCTTCTCATGAGATTGGATATACAGGGTATAATGCTCCACTTTTGAAACAACCCCTAGCTCACAATGCTGCTGCATGGATTTCAAATCCAATTATCGCAGCAGCCGATCACAGGACAGCTGAATTCAAAATACCCTGCGCATAAAACGTAGACTTAACTTAGTGTACTTCTGGTACAGTGCATCTCAGAAAAAAGACATCCAGCAAAATAATGAGTATTTTTTGCTTCTTTCTAATGATTTCAAAGGGTTAATACCACATTTCTGTGTTGTGGGTGGAAAACCAACCTTCCACTGTATTATTCCAGAAAAAATTACAGAAACACTGAAGAACTTGGAAAAGTACTTCTACTACTGAAGCCATGAGAGTGTCTCTCAAAAAAAGCATATGAGCTTAAGGAGCTAATAAATATAGAAAAAATAGTAAACTAAACGTGTTCATTCTATAAAGAGACAGAAATGTGAGACAGAAATGGAACCTGCATACTTGATTGAATTGAAGCCATAAAACTTAAACTGTTGTGCACTGAAGTTGCATTAGCTGGTAGTGTGGATACTGGCAATTATGGCTCGCATTTTCTCAGTGTAATTCCAAAACAGTCTATACTTTTCTTATCATCTCAGTTTAAGGAGTATTGAAAGGAAAGCATGGCAATTCTCTGCTTGTGCTCCCTTTTACATTCATCATTTCAATGGTGATCTCCCCTGACGGCTGTGCTGATGAGCTGCAACGATGATGGATATGTAGATCTGTCTTTAGCTCTGCTCCTAATGTGCGGCCTCATCTCTCCAGATGGAAATGGATGAATTTGAGGTCCTGATGGTGCATATTTTCAAAAAAAGAGACCCCTGTCATGCACTGAGAATGGGATTGCAAATAGCAATATGAAATAGAGGTAGCTTGAATAAGCTACTGTTGCATAAAGCAAAAATATCAGTGCAACTGGAAAATCCACTTTAATCTCTGTCTTTATAAGAATTATTGTGTAGTGTGGAGATGGTGTGAATTTCTAATATTTGCCTGAAAATAGCCGTGGTGCTGACTATACACTAAAACGTGTCAGAAACAATCAACTGGCAGGGTTCAGCGTGCAGTTAAAATCTGCAGGCTTTGACATTATTCAGAGGAGAGAGCATCTCTAATGCAGGGAGCTCTTTTGAAAAAGCATGTTTTTCTGTCCCCTGCACTGTGAAACAAGGAAGCTAGCTGACGAAAAGAACAGTAAATTGGGAGAAAGTGGATTATGCTGTTTGTAGCTTTGCCCCGAAAATCAGCAGCCAAGGTTTTTCAGTACATCTACTGCAATATAGTTAATGACCACAAGTGCAACCAGCCTTTAACACTTATAAGCAAACTGGATCTTTAAGTTACATACCTAATAAAGTTTCTGGGTATTTTCCTCCCTTAGGGGTTTGTTCCAGGAATATATTATTTGAAGCAAAAAGAGGTTTGGTGTTTAAAATGGAGGGTGACCTCATTAGCCCATCTCACAATCAGAAAAAATATACTTTTACCATGGTAATGAAGAGTCACTCATCTTAAAGGTGATTTGGCCCTTTTCAAAGTGTAATTCACAACTGCCGTAAATAAGGACAGCCGATTCTGGTGCCATATAAATATATATATATATATATATATATATATATATATATATATATATATAATACATATAATATATATTCAGAATACATACTTGCCTAAAAATTGCATGAAGTGGAGTGTTTGGACAAACATGCTTCAAAAAAATAATTATTTTTAAAAAGCCTATTCCAAGATTTTGAACTTCTATGTTCCTTGTCCTCATGGTAATCTGATTCTTCTTCCTTACTGTCCTGCATGTCCTCCATTGGAAGCTGTAGAAATAATGTTTCACATATAAATAGTAGGGGTGTGTAAAATAATGGATTTTTAGATGCATCGCGATGCGGACTTGGACAATAATGGATACAATAATTGTACAGAGGTTAACTGATAACTGTTGAGAATATTTCTTAAGGGGCTTAATTGATGTAAGACCAGCTTAAAGACATAAGCTGACCCCACAAGTGTTCACTGACCTTCCAGCTGTTTCTCCCACGTAACTGTCCTTGTTAGGGAGACAACAGTTAGACTGATAAGGTAGAGACAGTAGCTCAGGCGTCAGGCTGGCAGATATCATGGTTCTCTGGGAATCTGAGTCTTACAAGAATGTTTACAAGAACTCACTGGCTCCACAGATTAGAGTACAAGTCATGGATAGTGATAGATTCCAACAGGACGACGCATTGGAGTCCAAACATCAGATTAATTCGTTGTTCTAGGTTAAGACCAGCTGAAGATGACCTAATAGGGAAACATACAGGAACTAGGGGGAAGAGAGAAACATAAAAGGGACCTAAAGATGTCATCCTTCAGATTTGGTGTTGGCATTTGATGTGTTCTTCACATGTTGTACGCTGGCACTGTATCTCCTTGGCCGGGCTCAATAAACCATGCTATGTTAAGTCTTCATCAGTCTCAAACTTCTTCACACCTTAACCTGGCTCACAATATTTCTTCTAACAATAAAGTTATGTTGACGGAATTAAAAAGGCGAATCTCGGAAATGTGGGAGTGCAGCTCCGGACCGTCTTTGCAGTGCACACAACGGAGACGTGTGGTTCTCCATATATATATAATTGCCTGCAACGGACGGGCCACACTGCCTACAATATAAACACAGCATTCCCCATAGCATTCCCCTCGTACCGCAACCACCTGACCACATCCTGGTTAAATCTACATTTGTTCACTGTAGAGGCTCTATCCACAACGTGGAGGAGTATAAATGCGTGTACTTGCTAAATAGCCAGCTAGGCAAACACAAAGCCCTCTCTCTCTGTCTCAGACGAGAGGGATTCACAGCGGTGAACGATTAGCGGCCGGGTTATGGTAGGTTGCAGTATTAACTTTAAGGGCATTTTTGTGAGTTTCAACGGTTGTGCTGTAGAGCTGCTAATGATGAATAACCTTGCACTCGCATGAATGCAACCATGTGAAATTTTAACTTGCACACTTTGAAAAAATAGTTGCATTCGCGACCACAATGGTCACAGTCTGGAGCCCTGACGTGTAGAAACCGTTATTTTAATCCGCTCTGTCCACAGTCTTTCATCCTTTATGTTTTATACAAGCACAGTTAACATTAGCTCGACATTTAGCCAAATGTTACAAACAAGCTACAAAGCTGTATGTCTGTAGCATAGACTGGTCTGTAGTCTTGCAATTTGGCACACTCAGCTGCTGGCTGAGACAAACCAGCCGCTCCTCTCTACCAGGTAATGTTACCTGCAGGCACTTAACAGCAGAGAGAGGAGGAGGAGGATTCTTTCTAAACCTCACTCAGTATTGTAATGTCAGATACTGAGTTTATATACTGGCTTTGCTGTTGTAAACTTATAGTTGTATTGAAAATATTAATTTTAATCCTGTAATGAATCAACCAAGGCAGCTACTATGCAAACTTCATTATTTGTTCATGACAAGTCATATCATCATCTCAATACTGAACAATGTTCCCTTATACTGTCCAGGCCGTCCTCATGCCTTAGTTCGCTTCATTTCTTATTTGGTTGTTTGCTGCGAAGGCTGTACGTGCGAAGCGGACAAAGGCTTTGCTACATGTCACTAAAGACAAAGGAGGATAAGGAGGAAGTGAAATGCCATTCAAGATTCAAGTTAATTTCTTGTAAGGGGGGTCCACAACATGCTCAATGCTAAAGCACCTCAACATTGCAGCAGTAAAAGGAAAAATGCAGTATTTTCAACTGTATTTGAGTCGAAACACCTCATATTTCCACCAAAAAATAGAAATGTATTGATAGTGGTATCGATAAAGACTCGGATCGTTAAGCAGTCTCGATGATGGTATCAATATCAATGAAAACAGTAAAATAAAGCACTAGCTGCATGCTAGCTACTTAATAGGCTTCTTTTTCCTCGTACGGCACTAAAATACACAACATGGCCAGGTTTGGACCAGTTGTACTCAATAAAGTCTGTTCTCATGGTCAGTGTGATGGAACATCATTTCCATCCTGAGCTGGTGGACAAGGTGAAGACTCTTCATTTAACTTCAGGGTAAGCTGTTGAAGATGTTTTAGAATTAATTTTATATATTAAAAGCTTCTTAAATACATTTTTTAATTTACACATTTTTTACCTTCAGTTTTCCTGGCCTCTTCAAATGTGGAAAAGGCTGAGGATGGACCTGGGAGAGAGATACAGAGAGACAGCAAATGGGCTCGAGAGAGATGGAAAAACACAAGATGACTGTCATTTACCCAGTGGACAGCCCCATCACCTCAGCAGAGAGAGAGAGATTTAGGCTTCAAATTTAATTTGTGATTTGTGAACTGTAAATTCTGTGCGCAAAAGTGGCAACAGTGGCTTTACACAATCCTGCGCACGGATCTCTTTTCCTCTTATGATATTTGCCAGTCATATGCCGTCATAGACAAATGCTTTATTGTCTTACAGTGAAATGTATCTGGTGTTCCCTCTTTATTTGTAAGCAAAACCTCTTAATGAAAATGGAAATTGCCTGGTATAATTTTTTCCAGATCTCCCCAGACCTTTTCTTTCACAGCACTAGTACAGTGTCCTCTTCAGCCACTGTGAAATGTGGATCAGCTTAGTCAGTATGGGGAGACTTTTGCCACATGTGGGGGACTTCTCATTGGATACACAGGGGGTCGAGGTGTACAGCGACTTCATGATTTTGATGCTTTCTGGAAGTCGTCATCTCTGAGCCTTTCTAGTCTGGGGGAAAAAATTTGATCTTCTTGTCCATCACCTCACTTGTCTTTCTCCATCATTGGTCAAGTAATTTCTAATGGCACTGATGCTGTAACCCTTCTGTGCTGCCAGGTTTAGGGTATGGGCAAAGCACCCCTCCTGTAAAAGCTTCACATTCTTCAGCGCAGCATCCATATTGCTGACGTTTTTTTACTGTGGCAGCTACAACTTTAGTGTTTATCTGGAATTCCTCCAGAATGCCATTTACCTCGTCTGCTACCAAGGGACCTGTCTGTGACTCATACACAGCTTTGGTGATTAGCACCTTCTGTTTAATGTGGCCACGACTGATGTATTGCAAAGTAACTGTTAAATAGTGGTCCTGTGACACACTGGGCCACCCATCACATGTACTAGCAGCCTTACTCACTTGTGCTAACTCCTGAATAACATTTTGTTTCTCAACAAAGTACCATGCAGGAATAAGTGTATTGGACAGGTAATCCCTGGATGGGAGTCGGTAACGAGGATTAAGGGCAGCGGTCACCTTCTTATTTGTCAAAGCAGCTTTCTTTGCCAAGATGAATACCGTCACTGACACTGCAGTAGTAAATGTTCTACTATTACTAGCTGGAGAGCTAAAACACACAAACATAATAAATGGTAAATATTTTAGAAATCACTTGTTAGTATAAATGCAAGAATTGCAAACAACTGTACCTTAGCCTACTAACCTGCAGAAAAGCCGCAGTCATCGTCGTGAAAATCAATGGTCCCCACCTTGCTAGGAGTCAGAGTTGGACTAGAGTTGGTCTCAAGCAAGCCGTCGAACATGGTGCATTCCTCTGCTTTTAAATTGGTTCGATGCGTTCAACCCTTTTAACAAAATAATAAAATTAAAACTTTGTTGCATGTTCTGGTGTGAAAATCCTTTCTTGTAAAATACAGCCACACATTTGAGAGTTTTGCTTTAGGCATTTTAGCTAGCTAATATGTTAAAGGGTCTATATTTAGTTTATTATTAATAAATAAAATTTTTACTGCCTTATTGTTAATAGGCTCTAACCCACTTAGACATGAAGCACACGCCTATTTTCTCTGTTAATTGGAACGTTAGTTACATACTGTAACTCCAGATTCTATGAGTGTAGGCGCAACTCTCTTAGGCTATCGCTAGTGGGTTTATCCCACGCACGCACAACACTGAAGAACTTTGTTCACGCCCACCAGCGGTGTGGCCATCAACCACGGTCTGTGAGCACAGCGTCCTTCGGGATCTTACGGCCGTTGATCAGGCCCAGCGGCAGCCCAACCAATCACAGCTAGCCGCCAGTGGAGGGGATACCGCAGTGTCGGAAGACACCGTCCGCCAGGAGCAGCTGCAGCCTACAGCCCTAATCAAGCCTCTCTTGCAACCTTGGCCTACCACTTTGGACCAGGTCGACTGGTGCTTCGGTGTTAAGCAGGAGGAAAGCCGTGGAAGGATAGAGGGGTCCCACAGCACTGAGTCCCAAATGGTAGCGTTAGTGCTGAGAGAGGCAATCTACAGTATTTGGCCTGTACTGAGGCCACATCCACTAAGCCGGTCAGGAGAGAGTCTTTCCCTTTGAGTTCCTCTAAAAGCTGACGGATGTCTTCTGTAAAGTCAGCAATCTTTTTGTTTGCTTTCTTAAGTAGTATACAGTCCTCACGGGGCATAGTTGTTTTGGCTAGCTTAGCCGCTGGAGCGTTGTAGTTGTAGTGATCAGTAGCGTTTTTGCAGCTTGTACGGTTATCTAGTTTAAAATCCATATCAAATGACTAAAATCCTTAACCCACATAAAAACATAAGTTAAACGAAAATGATCTAAAACATGTAACAAAGAAGCATAGATTAAAAATGGATAAAAGTCAGGTTTAAGATAGAGCCTCCAACTGGTAGCTACAGAAAAGTAACATTGATGAGCAACATGCACACTCTTTGATAACAAAAATCACCTGATCTTCTCCCTACTCCATCTCTGCCGGTGGGGAGGGCAGACAAGAGTACCAGCTTGTGAGAAGTCTCGGTACTCCAAAGAGTAAAATGTAATAGTGCCGGAACTGGTCGCTGGCCGAATCACGGACATTTTTGGCGATTTAGAAATCCTTGCCGGATGCAGGACATGTCCAGGAAAAAGAGGACAGATGGTCACCCTAGCTAAACCTCTGTCTGCTAAACCTCTGGCTAATTTTGTCAACTTTGCTAACACAGCCAAACTTCAACGACATAGCAAGCCAGCTAATAAGTTCTAGTCCAACTTATAGTCCAACAGCAAGAAGGCCAGCTCAGCATCTATCTGGCATCCTTTCAGCAAAATTAGTACATAATGTTGCTTTAAAAAAACAATGATCTTATTGTTAGGCAATTATTTTGTGATTACCTTTTGGTCTTGAGAAGAAAATTTTTCCACTTACTGCCTTGCATTTGAAGACGAGAACACAAGGTAAGCTTCAGATCAGTATTGGATCTTGATCAAAGGCATTTATTCAACCCAGTCTCCCAGAAATGTCCTTCATATATTACTAATTTGCAACACCAAATACATTCTGAGACAAAAGTAATGGCATCTAAATTCCAACATAACATAACACAAAGAAGAAACACAACTGATGACAACAATGAACACAACTGCCAAGTCCCAAAATGTTAATACTGAATCTCCTAAAAGTTGTAAAAAACTTTTTTATGATATGTTTGGCATAGGGCTGGACGATTTCACCTAAAATCAAAAACACAATTAATTTTACCTCCATTACGATTATTGAACGATTATTTTGTTTTTGAGTGTTGTTTTTTGTTGTTGCTTTGTTTGTCCTTATAGTTCACTGACAAGGTTTGTACTGTAAATATGTAAATAAACTATTAAAGCTTGGTTTTATTTTTTTTATTCACAGATTTTAAAAATCGATTATCTTAATGTTAATTTATAAGGTAATGTTGACGTCCACATTTGGTGCATGCCGCTGCTGAATTATGAGTAACGCTACTAAAATTTCACTCCATTATTAATGTCATGCGGAACTACTGGAAAGTAAAGCCAGTTAGCGCCTGCTAACATCTCCCGGCGCTTCAAACTCCGGGACTGGACAGGGCACAGTCACGTGACCACACACACGCAGTAGTATGTTTTTAAATAGGAACACACAGAGGGGAAAATATTAACAGGATTAAATAATAATAAACCAAAATAACCGACTTTCAGTTTCGATTACTTTTCAAATAATCTTCCAGCCCTAGTTTGGCAATCAAAATACTTCTTTATTGGTTAGAGAAAGGCATGTGGTGTCAGGACCAGGTGCCAGAACTCAAACGCAGACCAGAGTTAGTTCAGGTTAAAGGAGTATTTATTCAAAACCAGTGCAAACACAAAGGCTAAGCAGATGACGTTCTGGTTGGTCAGAGGGTTTGTGGTCCGGGTTCCAATACTCTGGGTCTTGTGGTGCTGGTGAATGATCCGAGTCCAGGGGCGAGGCTGGTATTCTGCGGTCAAGACAGAGAAACACAAGGGATTGGAAGGCTGATCTGGCTTTCAAAGGTGAGTAGATTGCAGGATGTGGAACAGGTGTGCTTGATTGACATGATGCGCATCAGGTGAGTAGACCGGAGCACTGGCGACCACGCCCACCAGCAGCCTCAGAGTGTGAGGGAGAGAGCAGAAACAGAGACAGACGCAAACCAAAACACACACCAAGCACACAGCAGACGTACCAAAAAAGGGGAAAAGAACTCAAAAACTACATTAACACGCATACCAGAAAGAAGGCCAGGGTCACGACCGGGGGTTCTTGACATGTGGTGTTTTTTGGTCTCTCGATACTCTCTCAAGACTTCCCTACCGTATAAAATAATAATAATGATCTTTTTTTTTAATAAATAACTTCTCTACACACAAGGCAGGAATGTCATAAGCAGATCATAAAACAATTTCAAGCAAATCATTGCAAATAAAACAAATAAATAAAACCAGCAAATCAAGTAAAATCAGGAAAAACTCTCCAATAGTTGTTTTAAGAAGAGATTTAAAAGAGACTTTGTTATAAAAAGTAACTAGAGACAAATCTAGTGAGTTATTCAGTCCATAAGGGGGAAAGTGGGAAATAAATAATATATTCCCCTGCATGCTGCTCAGAATAATCTCAGTCAGTAAAAAATATAAAAGTCAGCAAAAATAATTGTCCTAAAACTGACCCCTGTGGGACACCATACTTGAAAGGAACAAAGGATGACATGTGGTTATTAATGTTGACAGAGAACCTCCTGTTAAAAAGGTATGAAGGGAACAATTTTTAAATTCCTACCAAGTGCTTCAGCCTGTTTAACAGAATGTTTTGATCAATTATATCAAAGGCCGTGCTAAGGTCCAGAAGAACAAGGAGCTCTACGACGCAGAATAATAAGCTTATAAACTTTGGCTGATTTTTGTTTTTGTTGTTGTTGGTTTTGGTATTTCACGTTGTTGACAATAAGAACAATACAGAATATCACCACGTAAATTTTGCCACTAAATGTATTTGAGGCAGCAATTAAGTTAAAAACATATTTAACAAATCAAATTAGTAGTATACATGTAATGTCTAGGAGATGTTTGTGTTATCACCGGAGACTAAATTCAGACCCTGCGGTTAAAAGAAGGCCTATAGATTTAAAAGAGAAAATTATACAAGAAATGAATGCTAATTAAAGAAGGAAGGTTCTATAAAACATAATTTAGATATTCATTTTATTTATCACAGTTTAATCCATCATTGTGGAAAACAGTGTCAGCCCTGATCGGAAATTTGGAAGCCAAGGCACGTG